AACGTCGCGATAGCTAACATTGTCTATTTAACATCACAATAATTCATTATTAGACCTATAGTTGTTTTTTGAATTGTACTCCACAAATCTCAGCCAATACCTCGCACAACTGGTTAACGTCTCGTATCTATTGTCGTGACGTCATGGCTCGCTGGCTCACACTTGTGTAGCCTGGGTTTCAGGCCCTAATTTTAGGTTACTCACTCTTCATTGCACTTAGTGCGCACCATACCTAATTTAATTGGCGTTCCCATACTCGATTTCTTTTTTTTCGAATTCCATCTATCTCTAGTAAGTAAGTAACTTTATTGCTTCTCTTTTATAACAGAGGCACATCCGTGAAGACGTGCAACAATAAAAAAAAATCAGTAAAAACTTTATTACTGTGATAAAATATAGTAAGAAAATACTGCGGTAGAACGAAATATAAATAAAAAAAGGGTTTACAAAAATAGTAATAGAGATAAAAATAAATACTAATACTAATAATATAAGTAAGTTGGTTAATACATACACTTATACACACACATACATATACACATACACACAAACATATATATACACATATATATATACATATATATATACAGTATACATATACATATATATATATATACACACACACACACATACACACACATGCTTACATATACATACACACACAATACATACATGCATAGACACACACACATACACACGCCCCTCCCACACACATATTCACACATACATACATACATACACAAACACATACATATACATATATACATATAACAGAGTAAATATTGTAAACTTAATTCAATAACATTAAAACCAGACATATTAGTCTTGCAATAGAAAAGTATTATATATATCATTTCGTTCTTTCCATGCCATCGTTAAAAGTAACTTACAATGATTATGGAAAACTTTACTCGCAATAGTATAATTAATAGGGTTTATACAATTTGTTGTTAAAATTTGATAATCGTAATGGATTTCTAAATCATCAAACAAAAGATGGTATTTAAGTTCAGGGGAGCTTGATGTGAATAATTCCCAAAATATATGTAAATCCTTAATGTATAACTCCTCTTTAAGTTGGTCAAATATTAAAGTTCTAATGTTCTTTAATCTGGTACAATCAAATACAAAATGATTGATGGTTTCCTTTGTCACGCAGTCACATAATAAGCATAAAGCTACGTTCACATCAAGCCCGGATTCCGGTCCCGAGTCCGGACCGGAATCCGGGCCCGGTTACGATTTCCGGTTGTGCGTTCACATCGCGTCCGGGGAACAAAGCGTCGGGGTCAAAGGAAGC